TCACAGACCTGGAGGAAGCACAGAACACTCAGTGCAGTTTGCATGAGTGTTCAGTCTCTTGGGATCAATGAAGCTATGATTTTGAGGGGTAAAGTGTGGGTATTCCTGCATAAATTTTCAACTGTTTGCATTTACATTCAGGCCATTAGTCTAGTCACAATGTAGTTTGTGACAATTGAAAATGCCTATCTTGGACAGTGGAAAAAAAGATACCTTTGTGATTTGCCTGATGGGTAAAATGGCTTATTAACTTCACAGTTAATTTTTTTGCTCTTGGTTCCAGGTTTGGTATGGAGTAAGTAAAACTCAGAATGTCCTGAGCAAAAGGAGCACATTTGGTTGTTTGTTCTTGGTCTTTTTTAGGTAATTTCTTTATGGTACAAGTGAGATGGTGCACAGTGTCATCAGCAGATAACTTCAAGATAGGAAATGGTGCTCTGCACTAGTGACTCACTCCTGCAATCCTATCTAGAAAGTAGAGGTCAGGAAGCTCATGCTTTGAAGCCAGCCCAGGGAAACTTAGCCTGACTGAGCAAACAGTTTGCAAGAAAGTATCTCAAAAATTCTGAACATAAGGAAGGGCTTTTGGAGTGGCTCCCATGATACAGCACCTACCTAGCAAGTGTGAGGTGCTGCAATCAAACCCCAGTACCACAAAAAATGGGGAAAGGTGACCGTACAGAGCAGACACATGTGGAACCTATAGTGCTGCCAGTGTCTTCTGAGTCAGTGCTAAACTTATTGAATATCTACAGTTCTGCATTCCAGACTGTTCCTAGAATTAAAACATGGGATGTCCATTCATGTTTGGAATTCACTTGAATTTAACAATGCCAGGAAAGGACAGCACAGGTCTAAATATTGAATTGGCTCTGGATGAGAGTCTGACACCTTTCCAAATTAGCCATTTTCATAGTGAGCCATTTCAATCCATAAGTGGGAAAAATTGTGTGTGGGAAGGTTCCCGAATGAAATTTCCTCCTTTTGTAGGTTGCTCTCACTTGCTTCCTCAACATGAGCCACCATGGGATGTATCTGCACAGAGACTTTGGTCTCTAAGTTTAAAAATGTGTACAACCTTCTCCTCATATAGTGTAGACTCAACAGGCTGCATCCTTTTATTTCTTTTCTGCATCCTTTTATTTCTTTTTCAGAATCTTTTACCTTTGTAATTGCAGTTCACATGAGCAGTAAGGAATTTTTTGTACTCTTTGCCTGTAAGATTTTAATGATGAAATGATGCCTTAGCATGCAAGTTTCATAAATTTTATTCAGAATTGGGAAAAATTCTTTTATGGATCATTGGATGAAATAAAATTTAATTAGTTAAATTTGATGGTATATGAATTTATCACTTGTTCTTTACTGGACATGTGCTTATTTATTCTGTTCTTTCCGAAATGTTGGAATGGCAAAAATCATTTAATTTTGTCTAGTATTAAACAGAATTTATGTTTTGATTACATTTTGTTTGTGTTCAGTAGCCCTGATGTTGAACACATTAAGGTGTGGTCTTTTTGTTGTTGTTTTGTCCTCTTCCAATTTCAAAATGCAATTGTATCATAGTCGATGATATAGACAATAGAATCCATGTTTCTTTGTTTTTCTTTGTATTTTGTCCTTGGACCAGGAGGGAACTTTATTAACAGACTTCTCAGAATCGCAGCTGATTGCACCCCTTGCTCACTGACTAGCCTGGAGCACTGTGTCAAGCAAGGAAAGCTCTGAGGTTCTTTCAGGCATCCTCTACTCCTCCTCACATGTCCACTTCACTGCACCCACCCAACTGCCCACGAGTAACTGAAGTGTGTGACAAGGTCTCAAGGACAAGATCCTACCCTGTTTTACTCTGTCCTGACAGGCTCTGTCACACATTTTTGACCATGGACATGGGCATTGGGAGGTGAAGATAGGCTCCCAAGTTATTTAGTGCTATTTTAGTTATTTTTCATGGAGGGCCTCCCATTTTGACTATGGCTGCCTCATAACAATAATCCTTCCCCAGATATGTCCCATGTAGGTATAATTATTTGCAAATACCACCATACAGAATTGTTGTCTGAGATGATGTTGCACTAACTTTTTGCCCAGGTTAGTCTCAAACCATAATCCTACCAATATTTGTCTCCCATGTAGATGAGTTGACAGGCATGAGCTACCAAAATCAAGCACACCCTACGATATTTCTGAATTACAATTTTATCTCGTTGTCATGATCATCAGTTTAGAAAAATGAACTCCCTTTTTTTGCATTGCATATGAAACTGTGACTTCAGGCACTTCATTTTTGCCATCCTTTACAAAATCATCTTATAGTGGATAATTTTCAGCATCTCTTTAATGCTACCAAAAAAGATGTATTACACATTTTTTGGTGGAATTGGATTTTTGAACTCAGGACTTTGCACTTTTAAAGCAGGTGATCTGTTTCTTCAGCCACACCTCCTCCTTACATTTAAGAGATGAGTTGGATTTTGAGAATCTTCTCTTTTGTTAGCTCTCTATAGTTGCACACCTTCCCAAAGCAATTGACATTATTCATTCTGAAAGATAGAATGAAAATCGAATATTATTTTACAGACTATACCACATGCACACTAGTATTGCAAAAATTGCAGTGAGTTTTTTGTGAGTAGAAAAGTGGTTATAAATAAAGATCCCAGAAAGAACAAATACTGAAAAGAGTTAAGTGAAGATACACTAAATCCTTTCTTTCCCTTGGGCATTCTTGGGTTTAAAGTTAGGGATTCTAACTTGTTAGGCACATGTTCTAACACTTGAGCAATACCTCCAGTCTGCAAACTCATTTATTCACATTGGTTAACATATAAATGTAAGTGCTGGGTACTTAAAATTACTGAGAGGGAAATGATGAATGAGAGCTACTGAATATGGTATGGAGCATTCCATGGTACCTGCATTGATCCCAACCCTGTGTAATGTTATTTGAAAGTGTACTGCTGACCTCTGATGTGCCAGCTGAAGAAGTGCTAGGCCAAAGTTCAAATGTCAGAATCACAAAAATGTGGAAGAAAAACTCAGTTGTGTTGCTACACAGTTTAAATCCCAGCCAGTGGTGAGGATGTTGCACAAAGATTATCAGTTGGATGCTAGTCAGGATCATTGAGCCAGATTCTGTTTCAAAATAAAAATACATAGGGGTGCAGCTCACCACTGAACAGTTTTCCTAGCAATTACAAAGTCTTTTGCTAAACCCAAAGTAATACACACACACACACACACACACACACACACACACACACACATACTAAACAAACTGCATTAACATAAACTGCAAATATACATTGCAAAGTGAAAAAATGTAACAAATAAAAACATCATAACAATATATTTGATATAGTAACAGTAAAAACAAAATGGAATAGAAGGAAAGCATAATTAAATAGGAACTTGAGCGAGGGACTGTTGGCTCCCACCTGTAATCTTAGCTTTTTTGGAGACAGTGGTAGGAGGTCTAGGTTGCCTACTGCATTATTGCCTTATTTGCCACATGTCTGCTGGAGAATTGTCAGGTTTCCCAGCTCCAGCAGCTGTGTGAAATCTTCTGACCCCATGACCATAGGGAAGTCACCTGGAAGCATCAGAAGAGGGAAATGCTGAGAGAGTGGCTGGGCATCTGCCATGCTGCATGGAGGGACTGTTGGAACCAGAAGCAGTGGTGGTTTTGACTGGCTCTGCCTTGTGGGTTCCACAAGTTGTGCCCTGATCACACTGTTGGGTCCTTAGGTCCTCTGCCACCTTAGGGTGGTGGTGGTGGACTAGGGGCCTTTAACCCAGTCCTAGGTCTCTGTGAGGTGACTTCATCCCAGCTCACAGCCCTGCTGGGAGTTTCTGCCTGCAAATCCCTATCTGCCAACTGAGATGGCTGGGGATACCCAATGTACTTATACAGTTTGTGCTGTGCCAAGGCCTTCCTTTGCAGTGTCCCTGTAAATCCTTACTGTGACCTGGCTTCCCTTTGAGACCTTCAGGTTTAAGGGAAGCATGGGCTAAACTCTATCCTCTGTGTTCTAAATCCAGCGTTTCTTAGTGCTGCCAACAAGTCCCTAAATTTCCACAAGTTCTGCACATTGTCAGATTCTTTGGAACTGCAAGTCCACAAGTCCCTTTGTTTGGCTTCTGAGTGGCAGGGATGCTTTTTGTCCTTCCTGACTCAACTGTTAATTGTCCCCAAGTAATTTCTAGAATATTTTTCTATAATGAAATGCTGGTTAATTTAGAATGTGATTTTAAGAAAGAAAGGTGATTTACTCTGAAATACAGTATAAACCAGAAGAAGAAAGAATTTGGGTATAGAGAGACATGGAGATTGGGAAAATCAGTTTTCTCCTGTGATCATCTTGTTGTTGCTTATTTCCTAGTTTTATTTTGGGGGCCTGAAGTTTGAACTCATAGCTTAGCATTTAGAGAGCAGGTGCACAACTGCTTGAAACATATCTCCAGTCTATTTTATCTGGTTCTTTATGAGGAGGGTGTTCATACATGAAATAAGTAAATTTTTTTTTTTTGCCAATGTGTTTTTGTTTACTTGGGTGAAAATGATTAGGTTGAAACATGAGATCAGAGGAATCCGTGGCCATCTGCTGCACTCCAGTTTCCAAAGTTTGACCATCAGCCCTACATTGACTTCCTGTGTCCTACCCTACCTTAGTCTCCCCTACTTAATAGACATGATGAATTTTCTCCAAGGAATATTGAATCTAGAATTCTCTGAGTATACCTGTTGTTCCATTTTTGGGAAGAATATGCAGGAAGGTCACAGTGAGTATAAGAGGCACATGCCAGGTCCAGAAAGCCAGGGCAAGTTTTCCTGAAAGTAGTTATCCCACAAACTAAAACATATCTCCAACAAAGGAAGTCTGATTGTCAAGGACTGCTGGAGTCTATCCTTTCAAGTCACCAGGTTAGCATTCCCCCCACTCCTCCACTAAGTGTTCCCATCAGTCAAGGGCTTGGGGGTTGGGCCCTTTATCCATTAGCCAATCAGAGCGGCTGTTTAATCGCCTGCACCACCTGTCCAATGAGAAGCAAAAGTGGTAGGCGGTTCCTGTTGCCTTTTCATTATCGCCATATTTACCACGATCCTGCTGCCATTTCTCAGGCTACAGAGCTCCAGCATCTGTGTGAAATCTTCTGCCTGCAGGACCATATTGATGTCACCTGGACGTTTCTGAAGTGGGAAATGGTGTGAGGTGGCTGGGGATCTGCAGTGCTGGGTGGAGGGACTTTTGGATCCAGAAGCTGCGGTGGTTTTGACTGGGCCCTGTCTGTTCTGGAGTCTGCTCCCTGATCACGTGATTGGGTTGGTCCCTGGGCGACTGTATAGTGGTTGTGGAGAGGGTGCCTGGAGCTCTGTCTTTGTTTCCCTCTGAGGTGAATTCATCCCAGTCCATAGCCCTGCTGAGAAACTAATCTGTAAATTCCTGTTCCTCACACTGAGGTGGCTGGGGAGCCTTGTGAGTATTTGTGGTGTTTGTGCCAGGACAGGGAGCTGCTGTGCAGTGTCCCCATAAATCCTCACTGGGACCTGACTTCCCTTTGAGTCCTTCAGGTTCAAGGGAAGCCCTGACTAAACTCTATGCACTGTCCCTTCAATGCAGTGCTTCTCCATGCTGCTAATCAGTCCTTAAATTTCCATGTTTCCAGTACATTGCCAGATTCATTGGAAATCCGAATCCACATGTGCACCTGGTTTGCTTCTGAGTGGAGGGGACACATTTTTTCCTTTGTGACTTAACTGTTAATTTCCACAGGATGTTTGTAGAATATTGTTTTATAATGAAATGCTGATTAACTTAGACCATGTCTTTAGAAAATTATTCTAGGGGGAAAGCCCCAAAAGAAAGGTATGTAGACATCTCGAGGCAGAAAGGGAATTTGCTCTCAAAGAGAAGAGAAACAGGAGAAGAAATAAGTTGAGAGTGGACAGACATGGAGATTTAAAAGAACAGTATTCTCCTGTGGTCATCACGGTCTTGTGTCCTTGTTGTGTTATTTTTGGGGACTGAGGTTTGAAATCATAGTTTTCCATTTACACTGCAAAGCTCAACCACTTGAACTGTATGTCCAGTCTGTTTTGCTCTGGTTATTTTGTAAATGGGGTATGGTAAACAATATTTCTTAGCTTATTTTGACTGTCATCATGATGTCAGTCTCCACATTACCTAAGTTTACAGGGAGGAGTTTCCAGTGCTAGGATCTTCATGATCTTTACTTGTTTTTTTCACTGCCCTGGGATTTGAGCTCTGATCCCCATGTGTGCTAGGCATGTACTCTAACCACTTTAGTGACTCCTAGCTTTTTCTTCTGATGGGTTTTCTTTTAGTTAGCATCTCAAGAACTTTGTGCTAGCATGGTCTTTGAACCAAGACCCTCCTGACCTCTGTCTCCTGAGTATCTAGGATAACAGGCATGAACCACAGGGACCTGGGTTTCTCATGATCTTATGGTGACACTACAGTGTGATTTGTTTGATTACTGAGGCTCAAATTTGTCTAATTGACCTTACAACTATTTACAAACCATTTTTAGGATATTTGCAATGATTACTTCATAATCATTGTTTATGCAAAAATCTGGTGGGATGAATGACCACCATCTAATCCTTGGAAAACGACTTTCTGGTTCCCATCATTTTCTGAACCACTGAGATTTCTTTTGGTATGGACATTGTGGGAATAAATCTCAGTCCCGTTATTTGTGAGCTCAGCTAGCTTGGAGGGCAGAACCCCATAGTAGGCCATAGTAGTGTTTGTGACCAGTGTCCTTTCAGGAGGATGAGGAGGTTACACCTGCTTGAAGCAGTGGTAGAGACCTTGTCCTCTGCAGCACAGAGCTGCAGATGCCTTAGTTGCCTAGAGTACCTTGTGGCCCTCCATCCTAAATGTAGGGTGTAGATCTGCAAAGATGGGCAGGACCCTGTCATCATGTGCTATACCTCTGAGTAACCGCATCCATCCTGGAGCACTTGATTCTCTCCCCAAGTGAGGTGATGGTGGGAGGGTAAGAGTCAAAGATAGTCACTTTTTGGTCATCTCATAGAGACTGGGTTTCTGAATTTGACATTTTATTTTAGTGAAACTTAAAATGACTAAATTGAGATGTTCTCTCCCAGAAATATCAGTGTAGAGGCCTAGAGTTTTCTCACTAGTAGATGCGAGTAAAAGAACATGATGTGCTCCGAGAGTTATATCCTCATATTTCTGTGCTGATCAATGGAATCTTAGGCCTTGCAGGGCTTCTTTTCAGCACTGAGTGTGTTCTTCACCCTTGAAGGTTTTATGAAATTATTGCACTATGTGGGTTGGCCCAAATTTAAGAAATGCACATGACACAATTGCTAGGCAAAAAAGATCTTTGGTTTCCAAGAAAGGGGAAGAACTTGGGAGATAATGGCTGATGACAGGTGACTAAATCACCTTTCACTGCTGGTAAATTATTCCCTGTGATACGTCTGTTCTGTGGGTGACAGTAAAGAGAGCTTTTCTGCTGAGTCAGGCTCAGGGTGGGTAAGAGTGAGCATGACTGCAGGAACAACAGAAAACTTTAAAACGTTTGCTTTATGAGCATTTTCTTTGCACTATTTTGTACAAACTGAGAAAATCCTTTTTCCATCTTATCCATTAAACCATACTAAACTATTTTCACTTTTCTTTCAGTGGTTATGGTTTTGAGGTCTTTTCTAGATGTCTTCTTCAGGATGTGAAAAACAGTTCTGATTAATTTTCATAATATGTCCAGTGGGTATTAAAAACAATTTTAGGACTATTTCATAATTAGAATTAGAGAAATGTCAGTGGAGATTGCATCAGTTGCCACTCCATTTAAGCATTACACATTATTTATGTATTTGGATTTTGAACACTTATTTTACTCAGCTAATTTCTAAATCACAGACATAGATTTTGATTCATACATGGTGTTTTATGTTGAATAGACATGTGCATTTCTCAATCACATTCTCATTCATTCGTGTATGCAGTACACTAATCCTTTTGTTTGGCTTGTACTGCAGATATTTATTCTCATTGTTTGTCTTTTGCCACTGTACTATATTAATGTTCCACTTTCATTTTGTATTTTCTTTGGGTAATGACTTTCAAAATGCTCTCTTTTTGTGTTATTTTCATATAGAGACTTCATAAATCGCTCTTGAATTGGAGATGTTTCCCAGGATCACATTGAGCATATGCTAGTTCTCCCTTAGTTTTGCAAATGCTGGGATGACAGGCATGTGACAGCATGAATTTAATAGTATTCAGATTTTATCTTTCCAATTTCCCATGCAATGGGATCATTGTCTATGACATTGGAGAATACAAAACATGTTTTTAAAGAGGAACTGGGTTCCAGATTTTGTGCTTTTAGCCACCATTGTATGATGAGTCATTAATTTGCTCTTACTTTAAAGTCAAAGGAAGACGGTTCCCTTTCCTCTGAGGCCTATTTGTTAATCTCTTTCTTATAGTACAGTGTCCTTGATAATGCAGTTAGAACATTGCTTATTAATATTATGTAATAGAACACTTTTTGTTCTTTCCCTTGCTCTCTTCCATTCTTCTTCTTCATTATTATTCCTTCCCTGACAGTGGTTCTTGCTATGTAGATCAGTCCAGTTTTTAACATGTGATCATTCTGGTGGAATTCCAAGATTAGACCTCCACAAGTGGGTCAAGGAATCACTCTTATTCCCATTATTTTTCCTTGCTGTTTGCCATTTATGACACTAATTACACTTTGAAAAGTAGTTTATTCATGAGCTTTCAGGTGTATTTTTGAAATTGCACTATTATATATAGCTAGGTTAATGTGATCACTTGTTGAAATCCATCTATTTCTAGGGACATGTGACATATTTCTCCTTTCTACTATGTTTTTGCATGCTACAGCAAAAACTAGAACTTTATCCGAGTGGTCCTTCATTAGTCTTATTTAGCTTTAACTTTGGGTTAGTCTGTAAGAAACCGGGTAGAAACTTCCAAATGTTCTCTCTTCATAAAGTCTTCAAAGAGGTGCTCAATTCCAAACAAACTGCTTGCAAAAGTGGTATTAAATACTGTTTGTCATATCAACTTTCTATTCATAACCGTGAGTGCATTATGGGTTTTGTTAGTACAAACTCACTCTGGTGAACATTGCAGAAATGTGCAAATAACCATAAATGGTATATATACAATAGGATATTATTGGAATAAATTTCTTCAGGACACTCTCCCCTTCTTATACTTTATATTTACTTTGGTGAGGTTCATCTCATTAGCCATTCTGCAATGCCAGTAGACATGAAACATTTACTCATGTATTAAAAACATGATCCCTGCAGTCTGTTTTCACCTGATATTACTCTAAAGGGTATCAAGAAGAAGGAACTTGTCAGTAGATTGCTACAATCTCAGTGTATAAAATGTAATTTTAATGACCATGTTCTGCTTTGAATTATCATGAAGTGCCTGTGAGGATAAATGGAGATTGAGAGTGTGACAAAAACAAAATGCTTTGAATATGTGGAGAGCACATCAGCATGTGATTATTATACAGAGATTGTCTGTGTCTACTGCTGTGACACTCAAAATTCTTCCCACAAATGTGTGTGGGACATATTAGGAGACTGTGACCTTTGAGGATGTTGCTGTGAACTTCACCCTAGAAGAATGGTGCTCTTTGGATCCTTCCCAAAAAAAGCTCTGCAGAGAAGTGATGCTAGAAACGTACAGCAACCTGTCCTACATAGGTAAATATGACATCATTTCCTTTTAAAAACTGTGCACTAGTGTTGTGGCTCATCGGTGTTGTTGCCTCATGGGGTGTTTAAAAAGGGATAGTAATGGTTCATAGACATGCATGATCATATTATATCATGAAAATAGCTGAGTTCTCAAATTGTTCTTTCACATTGATTCAATACTAATGATTTCTCTGTGTCTACACCTTACAAACAAAAGAAGAAAATGAAAATATTGAAGAGGACTTCAGGAATCCCAGAAGAAATATGAGGTAATTTGTAGTAATAACCAAAACAGTGAACATCAGATGTGGCATTGACAAGAAGTTTGATAACCATGGAAATGAGACCACAACTTCTACTTATAAATTGCTGAAATCAGCGAAAACTTTTTCTAAGATCAGAAAAATAAGTTAAGTATCCAGAATCAAAAAATTCAAGATCAGATATATGCCATAATTGTTAATATACTTTGTCCTAAGAAGTCATAAGAGACACTATCGTATTACTCAATATATAAAAGTAAGCCCACTCTGTACACAAACCAATTTAACTATATTACATCCAATTCTGTCCCAGTGGGATTATCATGTGCACTGGTATCAATAGCCCATTTTTCAACCTATGTCCTCATGTTCTTTCTTGTATTTCACAACCCAATATGCCTTTGATCCAAGGCATCTCAATAAGCACTTTAAGTGTATTTCAATGTAGTAAAACTCATTCAATATTGTCAAACACCCTACATGGAAATGGTATTATGGAAATAAATATGAACACACCACTGTTTCCATAGTAGCTGTCCTCAGGCCCTGCTGCAGAACATGTAGTATATTTGTGTTCATAAATCCTACAGAAACAAACATCATAAATTCTCTTAATAAATCATTAATAGGATAACAAGGATAATCTTTGTCTGTTTTGCAGACCTGAAGCATTACAGAGACTGCATGAGCATAAACAGTATATTCAATGTGGAGAATCCTTTTATCAGACTTCAGAGAATATTGTAACCAAGGAAACTATGCTTAGAACAGCACCATGGCAAAGCAATATATGTAATGCTTATGAGCAAACCTTCCCTAATGGCAAGGCTCTTCTACTCCATGAAAGGATACACAATGTAGTGAATTGTGAATGTAAACAATGGGGGAAAGCCTACCATCAATCCAGTAACCTTTGTATTCATGAAAGTAGTCACACTGGAGAGAAACCCTATGGATGTAAGCAATGTGGGAAAGTTTTCACTGAAGCCAGGTACGTTCAAATTCATAAAAGAACTCACACTGGAGAGAAACCCTATGCATGTAAGCAATGTGGGAAAGCCTATGCTTATTCCAGTTACCTTCATGTTCATGAAAGAACTCACACTGGAGAGAAACCCTATGGATGTAAGCAATGTGGGAAAGCCTATGCTTATTCCAGTAATCTTCGTATTCATGAAAGAACTCACACTGGAGAAAAACCCTATGGATGTAAGCAGTGTGGGAAAGCCTTTAATCAACACAGTCACCTTAAGAAACATAGTAGAACTCACACTGGAAAGAAACCCTATGGATGTAAGCAACGTAGTTAAGCCTTCATTGATTCCAGTAACCTTCATATTCATGAAAGAACTCACAGTGGACAGAAAAGCTATGGATGGGAAAGACTGAATGTGCACAGAAGAACTCATGCACAAGTGAAACCTTATGGATATATGCAGTGTAAGGAAGTGTTCACTCATTCCTGTCACCTTTGAAGCCCTGAAAGAACTCACACTGAAGACAAACTTATGGGTGTAACCAATGTGGGAAAAGTGTTCACATGCCACACTACCCTTAAAAGACATAAAGAAACTTATACTAGAGAGAAAAGCTATGGCTATGAGCAATTCCCAGTGACATTAGCAAATGTGAACTCATTCTGCAGAGAAACTCTATGAATGTACGGAATTAGAGACAACCTATACTCTATCCAGTATCCTTCATACTCATCAAAGAATGCAAACAGGACAAACCCAGTGGATGTAAGCAATGTGGAAACCCTTTCTTAGTTCGAGTACTGTTCATGCACCTGAAAGAACTCATGGTGTAAATAAACACTAGTGTCATACCAAATATGATAAAACATTCACAAATCCATCTCTGAAAGTCATGAATGAACTCAGAAACACTATCAATGTATGTAATGGAGGAATGCCTTCACTTTTTCCAGTAATCTTCTTTTATATGGCACAATTCACATTGTAGCACAATGCTGTATGTTTGTGTAATGTGGCTAAGCCTTCACAAATTCCAGTGTTCCTCCAAAACATACAAAATTAAAAATGGAGAATAACTGGATTAGGAAAGCAGTGTGGAAAGTCTTCACTCATTTCCATGACCTCAAACATGAAAGTCCACACACTGGAGAGAAAATTATAGGTATAAGCATAATGAACCTGTCTGTATTCATTCTATTCACCATCAAAACAGATGTAATAATACAATCTGTGACAAACCTTACATAAGCAACATATATGGGAATATATTTTCTCATTCCCATTACCAAAAAATGTGTGCAAGATAGCACAGTAGAGTGAAACTCTGTGTATTGAAGTAATGAGGGAAAACCTTCACCTATCCTGCTTTCTTTTAGCAACATGAAGAAACTCCATTCTTACACTTATGATACTGCCCAGTTTATGTACCTTTTGTTAGTAAGAGCATACCATGTCACCTGCTTTCCTCCAGAAATATGATGAAAAATGGTGTCAAGAGAAGATTTGACTGATGCCTTTTGCTTCCAGGGAATGGACTGTACCTCCAAGCCACACATCACAACCAGTCTGTTTTCTCCTATTTATTTTGGAGCAAGGGCCTGTGAACTCTTTTCCTAGAATGACCTCCACTCATGATCCTCCTGGCTTACCCTCTCAAGTACTAAGATTACAGGCCTGAGCCACCATCAGTTGGCTTAAATTTCTTATAGATTTGTTTAGTATGTATGTCTAATTTTTTTCTCTAGGAAAGGTCTTTATGCTATTTATTGTGGTGCCAGCCAATAAAGACAGCCACATGGAATCCTGCATCAATAGACTTGCTTAAGTGCTGGAAGGAGTGGCTTCATAATTTCTTTTATGTTAGACTGGATTTTGGACTCAGCACCACATGCTTGCTGCCCAGGTTTTCTACCAATTAAGACACATTACCAGCCCTTTGTGTGTCTTTTTGATTGTGACTTTCAACATGTTCTACATTTTATAGTGAGACAGGGACTTATTGAACTTTTTATGTATAATAGGGTGAATTTCACCTTATTATGTTCCAACTCCTATTTTCCAGATGCTGGGATGAAAAACATGTGAAATGTTACTTGTAAAAGTGTATAGATTTTATCTATGTTTTTTTCCATTGCAATTTGCATATTGTCCGAATTATAGACAAGAATAGAAAGCATGTTTTCAAGTACAGCCTGAATGTATCTTTGTCTCATATTTAAAGTGTTTATTGATTTGGCCACCAAATAATATATAATATAGCACATTTAATAGTATAGTTTCAAGATTTCTTATTAATAGTAGACTATATGTCACTTTTTATTCTTTTCTTTGTCCTGCCCTTCTTTTCTCATCATTCATTTTTCAAGATTATTGCTGTGTAGACCCCTCCAATGCACCCTTTTTTGTGTGCTAAGTATTTTTAAGATAGGCTCCTTCAAAGTGTTTGCCAACCAAAATCCTGATTATTTCAAAATATAATCCTCCTGATTGCTCCTCTTCAGCAGCTAGGATTAAGGTTTGAGCTATTAGTGCCCAGGTCTGAGGAGTGTTTTCTTTTTCCAGTGAATTCAAGTTCCTTAAGGCATTTATTCTACCTAATATACTTTGTAAAGTGGATTTTGCTCCATAGCTTACACTATGTTGCTGGAATTAGAGAATTGCAAACATCCTTGAGAACCAGGACAACTCTGAGTAAATAAAGGCAGTTAGGCACAACAACCACTCCTTCCTTTTGATAGAGAAACATGAGAAACAGGACAAAAAAATGTAACCATATTATTTTCTTTAAAAAAATGCTTAATGAATATGCTATCCGAAAATGCTATGAGGAATATGGAGGAATGACTTCAGCAAACAACACATGTGGTCAAACTTCTACACAAGATAAAGAGCATATTAGGAGAGTGATAGGGATTTTTTTTTCTGTCACTTCTTGGTAAAACAATTTACAAAGAAAGGAACATAAGATAACCAAGAGGTTTATTTCGTAAGTAATGAGGAACTGAACAAAGGGTAGTCCTACTGCTCTGATATGAAGACTGGGAGTTCTGTTTACTTGATGGAAAGCAAAAGACAATCAAAGGCAGGGAGTTGGGAAGATTCAAGTAGGAATATTCCACCGGTGGTTCTGAGAACTCAAGATTTTATTGTGGTCTGTTCAGATGGGGATGGTCATTCCTTTTTTTTTTTTTCATTTTTCTTTTATTATTCATATGTGCATACAAGGCTTGGTTCATTTCTCCCCCCTGCCCCCACCCCCTCCCTTACCACCCACTCCACCCCCTCCTGCTCCCCCCCCCAATACCCAGAAGAAACTATTTTGCCCTTATCTCTAATTTTGTTGTAGAGAGAGTATAAGCAATAATAGGAAGGAACAAGGGGTTTTGCTGGTTGAGATAAGGATAGCTATATAGGGCATTGACTCACATTGATTTCCTGTGCGTGGGTGTTACCTTCTAGGTTAATTCTTTTTGATCTAACCTTTTCTCTAGTTCCTGGTCCCCTTTTCCTATTGGCCTCAGTTGCTTTAAGGTATCTGCTTTAGTTTCTCTGCATTAAGGGCAACAAATGCTAGCTAGTTTTTTAGGTGTCTTACCTATCCTCACCCCTCCCTTGTGTGCTCTCGCTTTTATCATGTGCTCATAGTCCAATCCCCTTGTTGTGTTTGCCCTTGATCTAATGTCGGGGATGGTCATTCCTTGAAAACTGTTCTATGTGTGATTAACATTCATATTGTGAGCTAGATGCTGGTGGCTGAAGCCTGTAATCCTAATTGTTAGGGTGAGTACAGAGCAGCCACATGAGGACTGGACCCTTCCTCATCACAGTTGGCTTACCAAAAACTCTACACACAGGCCTAAAAAATAACAAACATTCACCTTTCGCCATTTCCTAGAAATTTCCCACCCAGCCTCATAGAAAGACCCCATTATCTCAGGAGTGTCAGAGGGCTGATGGAGGATATTCCTGTCCATTTCTTCCTGGGAGTTCCCCCTGGGACTCCCTTCTTTCCTGGACTTCTCTCACTACCTTCCTATATCTATCCCTAGTATGCAAGCAGCTATTGGTTCCAACACTCTTGCTGGGGAATGTTTCGAAAGAATTCTTCTCCCAATAAAGCATGTGCTGAGTTATTAAGCCGTTCCCATACTGCTTTCAATCTAGCATATCTGTCTCCTTATCTATCTTTTCATGCATGCCAGTCCACCATGTCTTTTCCAGTTAAAAGTAGGTACTCATGAGGCAGAGATAAGGATGATTGTAGTTTGAAGCCAGCCTGGACAATTTGTTCATGATGCAACAAGTTCAAATCGTTGTATGTCAAAAAAAAAAAGCCTCATAAAATTTGCCTCGTGTCAACAAAATATCCTAGATGCTGTGTTGGAGGATATTTTGGCTTGCATGGTCTGGCAGAGGCTGTTGTTTTTGGTTGGATCCTGAGGTTTTAGGTCAGTTAGAACCTGCTGTAACACGGGGATTTGTTAGTATTAGCTCTCTTTTCTAGGATGAGATTCATTATCAACAGAGGAGCCGTGGTTCTTAGCCATTACATTTCCTAAAATGCTCATTAGTCCTCATGGCAGACTTCCTGATTCTAAGACAAGACAGTGACATCACAGGGTCATGATTCCATCCTCTTTGCTATCCAAAGAAATATAAGGTGAGACTACTCTCATTTTTGGTCTGTAACTGAGTTGCTGCTTCTTTACTTGGGTTCTCCAATAAATTCTTAGTGTGGGATTAAATTTTGGTAATGCTTTGTCCATTCTCTCATATTTGGTGTGCAAACATTTTAAAAGGCATCAGAAGACAGAGGGACCTATGGAAATGAGGAGAAAGGGCAATTTGTGCTATCACTTGAAATTATTAATTTCTTAAAAAATAGTTTCTGCTATCATAAGTGAGTTGGGTATAAATTTGATGACATAGGAATGAATTACATGTTTCGTGTTACTCAGAAGGAACAGAAGGAAAATATTTTCAAATTGTTTAACTCATACTACACCTTCCTTCTCTTCTGACATGATTAACATAAGAAAGAAATAACTGCACACTGAAATAAGACATCTCACAAAGACATAGATTTTATTTGTGCTCAGAGTATCACAGTCACACGTAAGGTATCCTGATACCAATAGCGCAATTGAAAAGGACACTTAAAGGCATATTCTTTATATAACTGAAGGGTCACACAGAGATGTATATGCCACTCACAAAGGTAGCAATTATCTTAAGGCAGCAAAGAAAATAAATTTCCCAGGAGTTATACTGAATTTAATGGGGAAGCTATGGTGAAAATTTACTCCCTGGGCAGAGGTGTTGTTAGGCTGACT